CACTTTTGTTAAGAATCCGAAGACGCTTTTAACGTCCATAAATGCTGGAGAGTGGCTAAGATACTACACATTGTCAAAATAGACAATCAAAATTTGTTTAAATACTACAAATGTTAAACACTGGTGTAATGAATTAGTTGTAGAAGAAGTGTATTTCATGCCATTTTATTGCCCGCTGCATCGTCAGGCTTAAATAATGTCTCTGCCTTGTTTCTCAAGGTCATTAATTTTTAAGAAGAAGCAAGCTTATGATGGCTTGCAAAAATTGAAACGATATCGCGTCATCTACTACTAACTTTAGAAGGATGAGGTTTTATGGTATCAGTGATCCTGTGAACGTTCTCCACACTACCATTTCATTACAGAAACTCTTACGGCACCCGACCACACTTGACCCAGTAATGTCTTTACTTCATGGTCAAATTTTTCACGATTGGAACAAAACAAAAATTTGCACTTAATTTGAAGGGATGCCATATCAACGCAAAAGGTGGTTGGCAAAAATGACTGTCGTGGTAGAAAGCGTCACTTACACCCCACAAGTAAGAGATCCAAGGGCTTCATGTTGGTCTTACCAAAAGTGGGTCCCTGTTTTGGGTTTTTAAGAGTTTAAAGTTGAATTATACCTTAACGGTGAGGCCATAACTCTAAGGTCACGTTTTTTATTATGACTAACATACAATCAGAGTGAAGTGATGACACTAGCTTGCAAATAATCGGACATGTTGTACATTTATCGGTCACCAACTTTCCAAAATTTTTTCATTGGATATGGAGGCAGTACGTACCCATACGAACCATGAATTTAGGGCGCTTATTTTTTTAGTAAAATATTTTTATGGGAATTTAGGCGACTGTACACAATATTTATTGACATAGTATATTTGGTTTCTGAGTACTACCTGTTATCATCTAGTTTTGGAGGTGTTTATTATTATAAATAAATAAGTGAATTGAATTTGGAACGACTCCAGCGGTGAAATTCATGCCAGACATATTTAAGCAGGTGCTACACTTACAGTATCCATTATTAATGTTTCACTTGACCCTGATCCGTACCTTTGGGGCCCCCAAAGGGGTGGGTAATATCAGGAAACATTTTAACGCTACTATTCTTTGTAATGATCCACCACTATTCAAGACTGCAAAAAAATAAATATATTTTACAGTCAATGAAGGAAACTAGTGCAATTTGGGAGAAAATTATTGTGTAAACTCCATAAACAAGTTGCTTAATTGCAGTATTTTCCGTCCTAATAGTAAAGTGAAATGCTTCGACTTGTGGTACCTCCTATAGCTTATGCGCATGCTCTGCGATTTTGCTTAGCCCATGCTATGATAGGTAATGTGCCTTGAATTGGCCATTTGGATTCATGCTATAAATGTATTCTGCTTCTTACGTGGAGGAGGAAAATCTGCAGTGCACCCACATCTGCACAAAATCGTATATTTTTTCGACCTAAACGGCCATTTTCTAACACTTGGCTTTGGGGGCAGCAGTAAGTATACAATGAAGAATTCAATAGACGATTTCTACCTTGAGAGAAACCGCAATTGGGACATATTCGTGAGGAATGAGAGGTGCTGCTTTTGCTGGCCAAACCTAACTTATGTAGAAATATGGTCTGAAATCGATTTAGTTCAAAGTGGGCATTTTCAATGAAAATGAAAGGCATGGTGATTGAATCCTCCAATAACAACTTAGCATCTCCCCGTAGCTATTAAAAGGCCTGCGTCAAAACACACGTCAAACCGATGACCATAATTTTAACTCAACTTGATGACATACTGTCCTTGGTTGAACACTAAACCAACACCGGATCCTCTCACATTTGGGAACCCAGAAGTAATCAGATTATGTAGGCAAAAGTATGGAAAGTGCCGAATTTCAACTTCGACGAAACCACTTACTTCCTCGTTGTGTACACCAAACTCGCCAACAAAACGCAATGAATCGTGGCACTCATTAATGCAAAAGTGATCCAACTTGATTCATGTCACAGCCAAGTCCTAACTGACAGTTGGACTACACGCGAAAGAATTCAGGATGGCGTTAAGCTTTTGAAAGCCACAGAGGTGACAAACAGCCTCACCTTTAAAAAATATTGGAACAAAATACTTTGAGTGGACTGCGCACCGTAAAACCTGCATTTGAGGGACATCATTCCAAACAAGCTAATTTAAATAACATGCATTAAGGCAAGCTCCCTACTCGCTTAGAAATGGGAGAATATATTATATTTGGTGGTTACACAAATATCAAATCTTCTGATTAAGGAAAATCATGTATCTCGGCTAGCTGTCGCAGCTGGTGGAGCAAATCGCAATGCATTCAACTTATTCATCTTCAATCCAACGCGATCTAAGCATAAATTAATTATCACTCATAAAAAGAAAGTTCTATGAATCCTGGGGGATTTGCGTTTAAAGGGGGAATAAAACGTACTTCTAAGACATGCAGAAGGGAGACGGTTCTTCGGAAAGGGTGACGAAGGTAGGTCCTCTGAGCCCCTGACCAGGCATTCACTACTGAACCTGCATTAATGGGTCAACTCACTGGAACACTCACCTGCTCAACTACTTTGGTCGTTATCAACGTGCTAGTTAAACAAATTGATTAGCATTCTGCAAAGACGTATACCTCCACTTTTAAATGAATGGAAGCGGTTAGATTGTTACATGTCTAATGGCTCGCCATTTTAACAGGAGTCAGTTATAATTCAAATTTTACAATAGTTGGGAGGGAGAAACAATTCAAAAGTATGCGAATAATAAAGTTATAACAGTGCTCGTGCATTTTGATAATGAGCAACATTGCAAAGTCCCTTTGGCACGCCCTATGATGCAAGGCTATGAAGTTAACCATAAAAAGCTGTTTTGGCATTAAAATGTGTTAAAGTAGTCTGCCAATCGGTTATTCGAGGTTGTGCACCACAGTACATCTCCACCAACACTTATTCTGCAGAAACCGAGGATGTCATGAAGCAGAGAATTGATGAATGGTTGGATGGATAGATAGATAGGTCTTCTATCCACACTCTAGTTTCCTCTGGGCTCTATGAGTCATGCTCGTTTTGCAAATCTTCATGATCGTTGTTGTAGAAAGACTTTAATAAACTCCCTGTCAAACATGAAATGAGTAATTCTTGCTTTGATCACTCTAATGAAGGTGATTCTTGCCCTTTTACAAAGCAAATGTACGAAGATGAAACGAATCTACCGACACACTTTTCTATCCCTTAAAGCGTATAGCAAAATACTTGCGCCCACTTGATATCGTGCGTTCCTAATGAGATCAACAATCTACTCTGTTTTTGAAGAGGATACCCTTCCATTTAACATACTTAGCTATTTTGAAAACAAAGAAAGCAAATACTAATACATAGACGCTAATGTAAAATGATTATGTTGTTAAAAAGGCTGCGAATGGCGATTTGGGCCATCTTTTGGAAGTATTGCCGATTACCCTTAGATCGGGATAATCACGCACAGGAATAGAATTAGAAGTGAAGGCGCTATTGAAAATGGTGGCATTATTAGAGTCAAGACAGAAATTATTCTTTGCCTAATCTTGAACATGGCAGTAAGCATGAGAACCCGAAATTACTTCATCGAATATCCAAAGTTCGACCAGAGAGTAGGAATGTACGCTCCGTTCATGAAAGCGAGCAGAAGACCCATTTGTAAACAATGTCCGTATTTTTGCTTTTTTCACAAAGGGGCTTTATTTGTAGTAGACAAAGCTCACATAAAATCAAAACCCCTCCTTCTATTTTACGTAAAAGATGGCGGCGCGGCACTGCTGATATCATCCTTCATTCCAGCAAAACACGAAAGAGTTGAATTCCCAGCCAGGAAAATCAAGATTTGAGACTTGCGGACAGTAGAGGTCCTAAGGCCGCAGTTTGGCGTACAGTGTATGTACACTTCCCTGAGAAAGTGGGGTAGAGAGCATGGCCCTGGTGCACGGAGGTCCGTCTGAATTAATATAATGTGAGTGGGAATAATGGACCAACTAAACTGAATTCTCACGCAGTATCGGTCAATCGAGAGTTGAGCAACGCAACTACGAACTTGTGGGTGATCATAGAATGTTCGGGAAAATAATAATAAGGCTTTCTGATACGCTAAATGGTAACCTATTTTGGAGTTATAAACACCCAATGCAGGATGTAGGATCGCGGTAAAATAAAAGAAATAATGTCTGTCAGTGAAATTGTTTATAACTATAGAAATGACAGCTTTCAGGCTTGCACGGCATCCTTTCACCATGCAAAAAAGCCCTCGGCTTAACACCCTACGTGGAGTAATTGCAACTCTCAACTAATGCCGTTAATTCTCAGCATTAAGTGTCATCTTCGTATTAACTAGATGTATCTTTGTTAAAACTGTAGCTAAAAAAGGTATCATTTGCCTCTGGGTGTTAACCGTGAGCCCCTTTCTCAGCATGATAGTGAGAAGGATTTCTGAAAATTTAAGGAACTGAAAGCCAGCAGCGAAGATGATAGAGTGAAATTAAAATATAACGAAAATGTCCTCTTTTAAAATTAGGGGCAATAAATGCTGGGAATTTAATCGAGAGTCCCAAATTTCGCGTGCTCTAAAAGGTGAACTGCATCGAGGCGAGATTCGTTTGGGAAGTGGTGCCAAAGGCAAAACATTGTCTTACAGTAAGCACATTCCATGCGTCGATTGCTTTTTCAGAAAAATGTTTAAAAATAAGAAGGAGAAGAGGCGTCAACCCCTAGAATTTAATGCAAATCACCCTTTTTTACAGCGAAATAGTATTCACTTGGTTAAAGGATGTCTTCAATTTATTTGGTTTATTTACAAGTCACAATGCCAACAAACGACACCACTTCTGTGAGGCTCCATAGATTTTACCACCCACATCAGACTCCGATCTTCTGCAACAGTTCGGTGTAATATCCAGCTAGTGGAATCATAATTTTCGTGGTTCTAGAATGTTTTTGCCTTCAGACACCACAAATGTAGAGCCTAAGTCATTGTGAGCATGTTTTTCGTCAACAAACGGAAGGACTAGCGTCTACTAGAATGGACAAATAAGAGCAACTTTACGTCAAGTTAACGGCCGGTAAGTAAATTATTCTGCCAGATTGTGAAATCACTATAGAAGCTGAAATAAATGCTCAACAATTCAGAGCAGGCGAAATCTTGTTCAGCCATTTAATCAGTGCTAGAAAATTTAAGGCTTCTCTCTTTGGTTTCTCAATGGGCGCCTTCAACGACAAAATAATTGTAAATGTGTACGGTCAAAGCCTTAAATGACCTTAGGAGGCCTTCCTTAAGGGTATGTACTTTGAGTCGAGGGCAGTAGACAATAACTCTGAGTGGCTAACTACATTTTCTATCGTAAACTCTTTATCCACATAAACTCGAAACTTTAAATCGCCTCAATGGACATGCAAAGTTGGCAGACAGCATTCCTGTCTGTTTGTAGAGTCGTTTTTTCACGACCACATCAGGAAAGCAAACTATGTGGTAGGATTAAGTAGAATTGTCGACGGCGATGTAGAACTACTTTATTCTCTCATTCTTCCGGACACCTTAAACTAATGCCTTACCATTTGAAAAAGGCGATGTAACGTCCTTCAATTAGCTTAAATTACGGACAAACTATGAAACGGGGTGGGGGGAGAGAGCAACTCCAAATATGGCTTGACATTCAAACTACTAAGCGGTTTTATAACTCGCAGAATAATAAAAAATACACATTTTTCTCGCAAATATTGTGAATGCAATGCGAAAGTGAAAGGTACAGTGATAGAGGCTGTGGAAACAGCATGAATGCGATAATTTCTTGACGAGCGATGAGGTGTGAGAGCTATACCGGTTTTCGCATCCACTTTACACCAATTTTGATGCTATTTTTCGTAAACTAGAGTGAGGTGCCGAAACAATTATTGAATCATGTAGTAATTATTCCATTCAACCTTAAACAATGGGAAACGTAAACCCTATTTTAATTTGCTCCATTAGTAAGGTTTATGGATGCCTTACTGGCGATGTGTCAGTAGCATCTTTGTCGCGAGCAGGTTTTTTAAGGACTTATTTCCTTTCATGCAAAAATGTTTGTCTAAGCATAAGGCATACTGCTATAGCCCTTCATCCACATTTTAGCAAAATGTCCTACACACCGGAATGGTTATTCTAAATTATTTTTGCTCTGTAATAACGAGCGCCGATGCCCATAAGGGAAAAACGACTTCATTTTTTATTCAAATTAGTCGAAGCGCTGAAGTGCTCCAAAATAATGTGTTAAAGTGCTAAGGTTTTCAAAAACTAGCACTTTTTAGAAATGGTGGAGGGCACTGCAGAAAATAATCATTCAGCTGATACGCCAACATTGAGGAAGGTGTGGAGACAAGTGCAGACAGGAACGGCATTGTGATGGGAAATAAAATGCCAAGACTTGTCAATAATAACTATGTAAGTGAGTAATTTTCTCGCCCCTTGGCTCTACAGTTTGCTGCAGTCTTTATTTGCGGTTTATCAGTGCTTGAGATGAAAGTTTGTCGCAAATGGTTTGGATATTTGGCGGAACGTACTTAAAAGTATGGGTTAATCCAAAGTCGTTTGAAAAAGGGTGTAGTTAAAGCAAATCTTCTTAAAATGCGGATGTCTATTGCAAACTGTAGATAAGGTCGAAGCTTTACTTTTTCATTGCACCAGTTGAATGGGGAGAAAATAAAAGCAATCGGCTGGCCTAACTGTTCCATCTACAGTTAAAGCGTAAGGTTTTGGTTGCGTATTTCAATCGACTGGCCTGTGTATTGAGTTTGCACGCATAAAAAAAAGAATTCATGTGTCGAGTCTCATACTTGTAAATGGCGTGTCTGCAAAATCTTTTGGCTCTGGTTGACGAACTGTCTGCTAACGCCGGAGCAAAGGTGCTTCCAAAATTGATGTCGAGTTCTGGAAAAAAACACGATTTTGTCATTAGCCTTTTGGCTTTGTAAAATGCACTCACATGTGCTGTATTAGGGGACAAGCATAGCTTTTGTAAAATCATCAAATAAAGGCTTAAAAACTTTGAAATTTTTGCACCTTTGTGACATGGGGCGTTTAATTTGTCAAGCTGCAACTTCGACTACAAGGGGTGAGGGGATTACTTTGAAACTGACTTGCAATATAGGCAGAGGTAGGAGAGTTAAAATGAAACCTGATTTTCGAGTGTCGATGTGTAGCAGCTTTCGGTGTCGTGAAGTGCGGATAAGTGAGGTCCTCAAGCATTTCTCGAGATGTCGCCCAACACCACTAAGAAAATTGCACCTCAAAAGAAGAGGATTGATGTAAATAACTAATAATATTCATTTTTCGAAAAACACTCGTTCATATAACAAAGTATGAGCTGAACAGTGACAATGAAGGTAGCTCAGATAATGCTTTCAACTTACTAAGTAGCAATGTAACTACGAATGGGAAATTTTGTGGTTTAACTATTATCAACTTTCCACTGATTCTTAATGAATCGTTTTTACTTATGGACAGTTTCATTTCAAATGTATGTCGAAGTAAATTCCACTTTTATTAGTGCTCTAATTCGTCGTTAAATTACTGTCACTCTACTAGCATGTTGGATTTTTGAAAAGGTAGCAGTTTCTGTTATCATTCAAATTCCCGTAAAATTAACAATTTTTTTGTTATTATTGCCTCAAGTTCGACGTAGCGTTGGCCAGTGCTGTTAAACAGAAAATGGGGCACGACAAAAATTTTCGGTGATAAGGCTGTTGAAGATCCTACCATACAAATCCTGATCTTTAAATTTATTGCAGAACAGCACATCAAAAAGTGGATTTTGATTTTATACTAAGACTCATTAACATATTTCATTCGCATATCACCTTATTTTTTAAAAATTTGCAGGACACATCTCCCCATTACTTAGGAGCCATAAAGGTAAGACACACACCAGAGATGCTTATTTTCGACTAGTAAAAGCAC